TAGCAACCAGCTGTAACTCCGGTTTCAGGGGACCTGATGCTGTCTTCTGGCTGCCATGGGCATTGTATGCATGGTGCACTTACATACATGTAAGCAAAACACTCATACACATAAAATTCAAATAAATAAACCTTTTTAAAGAGTATATTAAAAAGGAAAAGGCAAAACAAAGAAAAAAATGAGGGGAAAAAGATGAAATGTTGGAGCACTTTCTTTCTGGGTCCTGGAGAATTAGAGACTGCTGGGTATATGAAGGGATGCGGTTGGGTCAGTTGAACTTAGGGGCTCTTTCCACTGATTTATGCTGGTGCTGAGCTTGTATCCAAGTGTCCAATGTCCACTAGAGTTTTCACTTAAGTAGCTTCCCTTCTTTGTGTAGGAGAGCCAGCCCTCTGCTGACCACATTTAGCTCCGCAGTTTGTGATGCAGCACATTTCTCCCACCTTCCTGAGACCCACCCAGGGATTCACATCCACTGGAATATCTTATGCTCTAACTAGGGCATTTCCTAAGTGTGCTGGGAATGGGAGAAGCAACCACAACACTGAGATCTGGACAGGCAGACCTGTCTTCTTACTTTCAAAAACCTGCTAAGCATTAGCCACCTTGCAGCTGTGGATGTCAAGCTGGAACTTCAGAGTTCTTGCCATCTACAAAAATGAACTCTGTGGTAGATGGATGGCTCCAGAGGTTGATTCACCCACTGACCTCAGGGCTCAGGACTGTGAAACTGCAGCATTATCTACACAGCTGATGGTGCCTACTCTCAGGCACTGAGGATGTGTCTTCCTTCCCTATACACTACACTTCTGGTCAAGGTCCTCTGCCTCCCGCAGTTTTCAGCTTGTGAAATTCGGTTCTTCCAACTCTCCACAAGTCCCTCCCAAAGCTGTCAATCGCTATGGGACTGTGGCAGTTTGAATTCAGGCCTGCAGACTTGTGACTGTTCCCTGTTCTTAGGGCATCAGAGTAGCTCAGTTTTAAACAAATGGTTTCCTCTCAAGATGGCAATTGGCCATAGCCCTCTAAACTTGTAGAAAGCCTCTCCATAGTGACCCATTCCAATAAAGAGGTCACTGTCCCAGCAAGACCTACAAATGGATTGGATGCTCATGAGGGTTGTGAGCTTCTCCTGTGGGTGGGATTGCCAGTCTCTTCTCCTATGCTGCCTGGACTACTTTTAGGATGAGGCATCTGCTTCCTCTCTCCCTGTGCCCAGGACCCACCATGTTGAACAGTTGGGCTGGGCCTTCTCTTCAGCTCACCAGTCTTCTCCTTCTCTGTACTTTTCAGCTGGCCTCTTTTCTGAATTTCCAAAGCCCTTCCTCCCTTGCCATCTTTGGAGTTGAGTGTAATTTTGTCTTATCCTAATATTTACTCATTTGGTCATACAAGGCAGCTTCTATTCTGCCATCTTACCCAAAACTCCTGAACTTCAGTTTAAGTATGGATAATAACATCATGTCTGTTCCCAGTCTCCTGCGAGTCCCCAGTTCCCCCTACCTGGAACCTGAAAGAACAGAGCCACGACTTGTGGAACCTGGAAGTTAATAGGATTATAGAACTTAACTAGGCCTTAGAGATGGCTCAGTGGTTAAGAGCACTTGCTGCTCTCACAGAGGTTCAATTTCTAGCACCCACATGGCAGCTAACAATCAGCTGTAACTCCAGCTTCACAGGGAGGCAACGCCCTCTTCTGGATTCCATGGGAATTCCTGATTACATACATGCAGGAAAAACAAACACACAAAATTAAAATAAAAGGATGGTCTCAAACTCACTGAACTTCTGCCTCAGCCTCTCAAGTGTTGGGATTACAGAAATGTGGCTTCCACACCTGGTTTTCTATCCTACTTTTTTGAGTCATGTACATACTGATTGCCTTTTTTTTTTTTTACAGTTTTTAGAGAAGAGATAGAAAAACAATTTAAATTATCCTTTAATATATTTGATGAAAATTGCTTTTTATTTTCCTTCTTGACAGTTTACATATTCTCAACTCATTGTTAACATGTAATTTTTAAGATTATTGTCAAATTTGGAAAATTTTCCATTGAGTTTCTTTCGTTTCATGTTTTCTATAGAATAACTTCTTTTAAATATTCACTAAAATAACCATATTCCAAGTACTCCTAAAAGATACCCCAAACTGATAATAACTGTGTTTAGAAGAGATGGCACAGCACATTAAATATAGCCCCCAAAGCACAGTAAGTATAGCCCAGTCAACCCCTTTTTTTTCCCCCCAAACCAAATGTTATCCAGCTTTATTAAAGGTACTTTTCATAAACAATCATAGTTTTTTGGGGCAGGACATGGGCAGACAATCATTAACAGTATACGAGGAATTTTTTTGTTGTTGTTGTTCTTTTTTTGAGACAGTGTTTCCCTGTAGCCCCAACTGGCCTGGAACTCACAGAGATCTGCCTGCTTCTGCCTCCTGAATGCTGGGGTTAATGCCCTGCACCACCCCCACCCCCAGCCCAAACTCCCTTCTTTCATGGACTACCCAAATCAGAAAGCCACTATAAAATCCAATGAAGTCTTCATTTTATGCTGTGAATGGGGAAATTTTAGAGTGGAGGTTGACATTTCACATTAAGCATGTTGTTTAACAACTTTTCACAAGCCAACCCTGACTTTCAGGAAATGAAAGGAACATGACAAAATGATTGATCTGAAGGTCCACAATTTTTCAGAAAAGGAACTGTCTGAAGAACCATCCCAGTGATGTCACTGCAAAGTCCAGACTGCCCAACATACTAGCAAAAACAATTTTAGGGAATCAGGTCCCAACAGGTTTTAAGGGAGTTGAGTGTATGTTGATTTGAAGGTGGAGGGAGAAGAGGATATAAAAATCCATTTTGAATTTTCCCATACCACAAGGCATTATGTGCCAAGGTAGCCATGTGTATCAGCATCAGGAAATCCCCTCCCTGAAGCCAGGAGGAGTATTTCAAAAAGTAATAGGGAAAGGTGTTTCCCCCACATCAGTCCAGTTTGGGAGACATTTTGTTAGTGACACATGTTTCTCCCTCCTAAAACAATGAAGTGTCTTTTGTGCTAACAACAAGGCTTAAGAAAAGAAAAAAGTAAAACAAAATTCTGCATTTTTATAAAACGTGATTAACAATAGCATTTCAAACTGTACAGTCACCAGAAGTGCACAGTTATCAAAAGTGTACAGACTTTACTTGGCGTCTCTAGCACCTTCGGCTTTCTGTGCCTGATGTGTTTTGGCATCTCCGTTTTCTGCAGAATTATTCCATCCTTACCAGCTCAGCTTTCCCCTTTTCCCCTTGGTCACCTTCTCTCCCTTCTTTGCAGGGGTCTCTTTAGGCTTGGGCTCTGGCTTTGGAGAAGCAGGTTTAGCGGATAATCTTGGCGATCTTCTCTGTGGCTCGTCCTTCACCTAGGCTTTATTTCCTTTAGCATCCTCTTCAACCTTTCTTTTGGGCCGGTGGCGGCGGCGGAAGGGTGGGGAGTGGGGTGGGGGTTCAGGCGCTGAACACACGGATGCAGTGGCACGTGGATTTGGTCGGTCCGGACGGAGATCATTCTCCCTTTTCACACTGCTCCCCAGTCAGCTCTTGCAACGGACCAGACAAGCTCTTAATAAAATCACAGAAACTCCTACAACACTCCACAGTCACAAGAGAGGAGGGAAAGATCGCTTAGGGGCAGTTGAAATGGAAAGAAACAGCATTGCTAACTGATTGTGTTTAAAAGCTCTTATTTTTGCAAATGTAATGCAGTCATATTCCGATTAGTGACGTTTGAGCCAACGATGGGCTTCAGACGCAATGTTTGTGATCTAGTAACATTATAATGAGGCTCAACAGTTCTCGGGATGGATCCGTCATAACCCGTTATTCATGTCTTAGTGGTAATGCTAGTATAAACACACCTGGACTGCTAATTGTGTAAAAGTGTAGCCCATACAACCGTGTACCATAATACTTGGTGATAAATGACTTACTGGTTTATGCACTTACTATACCATAATTTTTATCTTATTTTAAAAATTTACTGTAAAACTGAATGTTTTACATTATACCAGTTACACCAGTCTCACACATCTCTTTCGTCTCTCTTGAGTACATCATTTTCTCTGTGTTTAAGGTAATCTGTGTTGTTTTATTAGTCGTGGCCCTAGAATCAATAAGGTTTACCACACGTATACTTAGGTGTGTGTATGTGTGTAGAAGGTTATACCATTGAGTTTGTACAGGTTTACTCCTAATCTCTCAGTGGCAAAATGTGTAACAACTAACATTGAATTCTAGCTAACTGAGCTCTTCTCACATGCAATTCTCAGAACATCGAGTTGATAAGTGACCATGAGCTATATAAACATATAAACATACTGTTAGACCTTTTCACCAAGTACCCATGAAAGTAAGCCTTCTTAAGTTCACAGTAACTCTGTCTCTGACTTAGCTCATTTGATTCTTCTGGGTTTTGAATTAGGTAAAGCATATTTGGGGAATTATTAGTCCATAAAAAAAACCCAATAAACATTGTCGAAGAATATTGTACTGAACTGTTGGTAATTTTTTAACATTGATTGGTGTATGAAGTCCCTTTTTATTTTGCTTTAAAATTTAGCTAATAAAAATTTGTAATCATTTCAAAATAAAATAAGAAATATTTTATTTTCTACTTATTGTCTAAATAGGTCATAAAATAATTCACAAGATAGTGCAATAATAATAGTTCTCTTGCTAACAACTTGCATATATGCCTGCATGTTTTGTATTGTTTTGAGTCAGTCTCCTTATGTAGACCTGGCTAGCCTAGAACCTGAATCCTCATGCCCCAGCCTCCTTAATGCTGAGATTATAGGTGTGCGCAACCATACATCAGCCAATAATCTGTATTTTTAATATAAATTTATAACAGATACAAAAATAAGTAACTAATTCAACTTCTAAAAATACTATAAGGATTTTAACATAAATTTGCACTGGTCTGAAATTTACTTTTTATTCTTAATACAGGTATCTGAAATAAAGCACGTTTGTTTTAAGTTAAACACTGGATTTTATTGGAGAATCTGCACCTGCCTGGCAGTGAACACAGAGGGACGTATGCAGTGACTGGCTGTTCAGCATCTGTAACATCTGTAGGCTTTCCTGATGGAGCAGCAGACCTGCATGCAGATTCCATGCTAAATACCAGTGATGCATCAAACCAGAGCATTTCTGTCAATCAAGCATGCAGTGTGGTTTCTTTGGAAATATGCATTCCCATATCCCAAATGCTTCCCTATACAACTAATATAAGACAGATCTCTTCTCATAGCACTCCAAACTTATGCCCTTCACATCACTCATTGTCCTAAACAGACATTGGACATTTATTATTATCAGTGATTCCTCATTATAGCTTTTGGATTTAACATAAGCACATGTTTGGAAAAACAAGACATTGAAATAATACATGTTCACAAGTACAAAAGCAGCAAAGTGAGTCTCAGCTCTGACAATCCTGTCTTATCGTGCAATGATTTTTAGCAATAAAATTACAGGACTATTATGTTATCTAAAAATATGAAATGAGATTTTAGAAAAGTAAAAACAGCAAAACCTTTTCAATATTAAACTATCCTAACATGCTCCTGAAAACCAAAAAAAATTATTTTTCTGTGTTAAAATACTACATTAATTTTCATTGTAATTAATTTCTTTGTGAAGAAGACATTTTAAAATTTTCATTGTCTGAAGTGTAGTTGTCCTAGTTACTTTTTATTGCTATGATGAAATACTGACCAGAAACAACTTGGGGAGGAAAGGATTTATTGCATTTTACATACTTCCAAGTGAGTTTGTTTTTGAGGGAAGTCTCACAGGAACTCAGGCCAGAAACTTGGAGGCAGGAGCTGAATCATAGATCGTGGAGGAACACTGCTTACTAGCTTGCTTCCCTGGCCTGTGCTCGGCTTGCTTTCTTATGCAACCCAGGACTACCTGCCCAGGGGTGGCACCACCCACAGTGGCCTGGACCCTCCCACATCACTCAGCAATGAAGAAACCTCTTCACAGATATACCCACAGACCAATCCAATCCAAGAAATTCCCCAATTGAGGTTCCCTCTTCTCAGGTGGGTCAAGTAGATAACCAAAGCCAACCATGAAAGTAGTAAATACAGATAAGTAATATTAACTATCCATATCACCTAAAATATCATACATATGATATGGAATTATGTATTTGATTGGTTACATTGCCATACTGCTTAATTTTAACAAGTTTATCTTCATTGTAGTACAAGAAAAATGAATTGAAAAATATCATAATTGGTTTACTAATGACACAGAAAAATACCATTTTTGTAAATCAAAAAAGATAAAATATTCTTGAAAGACTTCTCACTTGATGGCAGATTGTCACACCTGACTACTTTGCAGCATGAAGCCATGCTTTGTTAGTGTACAAGGTAATGTTTAAGCTTGGCAAAAGATAAGCTTCAACATTTCCAAAGTTCGGTATAGTGAACCCAAGAAACAGTCTGTAGATGTTGCTTGATAACAGTGTGGTTGTACAAAATAAATATTCTCAATGAAATAAACAATGTAACATTTGCTACTTTTAATTAAATAAAAATAAACTCCATTGAAAAGATAAAAAGCATTTTCTTGTTGTTCTTTTTGTTTCTTAGTGTATTATATTCAGGGAAGAATTTTTTTTCTAGGCAGAGGACTCCAATACATTGAAGCATTACTATTATATCTGACACTGACTTGTTTGTCTTGAAAAAGTCATGCTAATGCAAGACATATTAACAATGTTCAGGAAGGTCAATTCGGTTAACATTTTTATTGAAAAAAGGATAATCTTGTTAAGATGTATGCTATTTCCCTTAAATTAGTTGGTAATATGTTTTGCCTACTAAGGGTAAATAAAATTACTTTTGCAAAAGCACAACTGTATTAGTCAACTGAAACCTGTATGTGATTTTCGTAAAGTATTTTGAAATATATTGATATCTTCATAGACAACAGAATTTTTTCAATTCAGCTTTGAAGATTGGTCCAAAATGGAAAAAAATGAAATTAAATAAAGGCCCAGAAAGGCCATTGATGCACGTATACATGTATACATACATTGTGTTCACATATAGAATAACGTGGAATATGGTTAGAGTAGAGCCTTTAATCAGCTGGTGAAGAGCACTTATGTAGTAAGTGATGCTGAGACAGCTGGACAATTGAAAACTCAAGTTCTACTTCAAGCCATTTCCCACTCTTGTTTCCATGTGTGACCCACATATACTCCATATTTCTTGTTGATTCAGTTTTCCATATTTGTATTCTCTAAACACAAAGGATATTCTCAATTCACAGCAGGTACAGAAAACAAGCAAAAGAAAAACCAGCTACTGGAGCTCCATTGCTGCAGTGTCACCCTGGCTCCGAGATATGGTGACAGAGTTCTTCCTTTCAGAAAGTCTTCTTGCCTTCACAAATACGGTAACTCTTCATATTCTCCTTCCTTTTCTGCTCCATCCAATTTTTAAAATTTTTATTTATTTGTGTATTTATTTATATTTTAATGTGTATGAGTGTTTTGTCCACATGTATATAAGTGCACTCATGTCACGCAAGGCCCACAGAGGCCAGAAGAGGGCATCAGATCCTCTGGCCTGAGGGTTGTGAGATGCCATGTGGATACTGGGATCTGAACCCTGCTTTTTTATAAGAGCAACCAGTGCTTTTAACCGCTGAGCCATCTCTCCAACCCCTCCATCTAATTTCCTTAAGCAGCTTCCAGACATTTTTGGACTTTGCAGATTGTCTGCCACTTGTCTTTCTGTCATCAGCAAGGCAGAGTATTTGTTGAGGTGGTTCTGTTCCAGTTTTCCTTATTTTTTAAAATTATTTATTTAATAACCACATACTTAGAAGAAGCATTTCATTACAACAGCATTGACATATTCAATAACAACTTCCTGAGTTAAGATGCATCTCTTTCAAAATTGGCTGTAAATTTTTAGATTTACAGTTGAATTATTACAGTTATACAATATTGTACTCAGTATAAACCCTATAAGACATAAAATTAAATGAGGTTTGAACCTTTAAAAAAGATCTCTATTTCATTATTAAAATGCACAGTTTAATACAGAAAAATTCATTTTTAATACAATTGATACTAAGATGCACATGTGTTTCTAATCTCTATATATCTGATTATTACTAGTCACAGTTGATTACTTTCTGAGTTCCTTGGCATCTGTGCATGGATATAAAGTCGTCAGGTAGATTTCATCCTTATTGCTTTTTATTGTTATGTTGGAGCAGAGGTCTACTTATATATTCATACTGGAGGGATATTTCAGTTCTGCTACTGTAGGAAAATTGGGTAAACACATGATATTCATCCAGTTACACATTGTGCAAATAAACCACAAATATTTTTAGCATAAAATAGTTTAATATTTTGGACATACGCTAAACAATTACTTATACACCTGAAATTCAAATTTAACTGGGTGTTCTGTACTTTTACTAACTGGCTATGAAGACTAACATCATTGTAATTGTCAAACATTTCTCAAGAATAGGTTTCTCAACACACTAGTAAGTACAAGCACTATTGCTATAGTCTGTGATTTTATGAAAAGAAATAATTATAAAGCAAGATGAAACTCTTAGAAATTAAAGTTTCAGTCATTGAAATGAAGGCTTAGGGCTAGGACTGTAGCTCAGTTGTTTAAAGGTTTAACTATATGCTACAGTGCAACAGGAATAACAGAGCATATTGCAAAAGAAATGAAGATATTTAAGAATGTTATGGAAGAGAATCTCAAAGTCTATCATAATTGATGAAGCATCTCCGTTTTTTTTCCTTGTTAAATATTTATTCAAAGATTCAAAATTGTCTTTGGTATTGTATGTTGAAGACACATTTGAATTTTGTTTTAACTTTTACAAAAACTTTATTGAGAATTTCATACATGCATATAAGGTGTTTTGATCAAATCCATACCCACTCCCTCCTTTCCAACACCTCCTGCACCTCCCCATCACTTTTTTTCTTCTTTTTCTTTTTCTTTTTTCATTTATTTATTTTTATGGGGCTTTTGGCCACTCCAACATCCCCCATCTGAAGAGGTAACCCTAAAGTCTTTTAAGGATTAGATACAAGCTCCCAAATACTTTTGACATTTTTAGCCTTTGGAACAGAGTAGGTTGCTAACTGTCCCAAGGACATTTTGACTTTTAGCCAAGAAACTGGCTACTTTTCTTTGGGGTCTTTTTACCCTAACTGCCTAGCCAATTCCTACCTCCTATTCTTATCTTGCCATCCTCTGAAGGGGTTACCCCAATTGCCAATAGGGAATCGGGACACAGACTGCTCTGTTTTCTTCCATCCTGAACGGGGACACAGGGTGAGGCAATTGGAGTACCCCTTCAGTGGGTCTATCTAAAAGACTTCCAAATTGCATAACTCTTATCTCTAAGGGGAAAAGAAAGTCCTTGAATTGTGAATAGCAGATGTGAAGGAGAAGTAAAGGCAAGAGTAATTAGCTTTACAAGTTCTAGACAGAGAACTAGAAAAAAGTCAGAACAGC